ATATCCACTTTCCAGGGCAGCCGAACAGTCACTTAGGGTTTAGGGTTCATCAACAGTCCCTTAGAGAGCTGATAGAGCAACACACAATCGGAGGAGGGAAAAAAAATAGTTGAACAGTCCCTACTCAGATTTTAGGACATGAACAGTCCATCGAAATAGCGCAAGAAGAGAACCATAAACAGAGAAACTTCAGTTCAGTACCTAGGTCACCCGAACTGTGAATAGGCAGTACACTCATGGACCCAATCTTCTCTGYAKRCCAGAATCCTTCTTCGAACCTCTGGGATGGTTTTCTACAGTCTTCTTAGCCGAGCAACTCCAGCTGGAGAGTGAAGAAGGAAAAAAACTTGTAGCAGAACCCTTTTCTGCACTAGGAAGTTGAACAGTCAGCTTTCTTGTAGCAGAACCCTACTCGTCAGTGGAGACTAACCGCAGCACTAGAGAATGCTTCCTCTTCCTTGTCTTCGAGCATCAGGACTATGGCTTCTACGCAGCAGTGGAGAGAGACCTCAGCTGGTTGTTTTCCAGGCCTGGTCGGTTCCGCTCTAATACCATGTTGAGCAGAAAGAAGAAGAAGAAGAAAGGAAGGAGGAAGAAGAAGAAGAAGAAGAAGAAAGGGAGGAAGAAGAAGAAGAAGAAGAAGAAGAAGAGAAGATGCTGCAGACTTAAGGCCTCAAAAAGAACTGCTTCAGCGAGTGAAGCATTTGTATTTATACAATACTGGCCGTACAACACAAGAGGACTACAAAATTACAAAAATACCCCTGTGGGCACTAAACCTGTGTATAGTACATACAATACATCTGTCAACAGGTCTGTTAGCACATCAACTCTTTAATCACATTGATCATCTGGGTTTGTCACCACTGATTGTAGGAATACATGCTTGCCTCTAGACAAACATTTCATTCTGTATTCATATTAACAGAATAAAATGACAAAAAAAATAAAAAACAGAGACATACCATCTGAAAATATTTATTATAGATTTTACAACTCTCTTTAGGACAAGGAGACCTAATGGCAAGTGTATAGCAGATCCCCACATGTAAACCTGGTTTACTCCATCAGCCACTGCGCTAATACATGCATAAAACCTAGAAGGTTCTATTATTTGGCAAATGAAAATCAAGGTTCTATGAATCTGATACTTTTCACAGTAAGAAGAAGCTGAAATAAACATATAATAAGATCTACCTTTCAGTTATCTTCACTGCCTTCTGTATCCTGCAGGAGGACTCCTCTGACTTTTGCCCTGCCAACGGGATACCAAATTATGGAAATAAGGCAGAAGATGGAATTTACATGCATGTAAAAATGGGCTTGCTACTTTACCTGCGATATGCAGGGACAACCCGTTGACTGACTTTTGTGGAGAGAGGATCTTGGGAGGATGGCTTCTCTGTAGTTGAGGGAATGGAAATGGTTTTCTATTAATTGAATAAGAAATACCAAATCTTAATAACTACGCAGATCAAAGTGATGCACATGGAAGAATGACAATATAACATATGTAAACTAAAGAGAATGTGACAAATATCTGTAATTAGCAATGGACTGACCTACAAAGTGCTTTCTTTGTCAATTCAAAGAAGGGGGGAAATGAGGAAAAGAAGGGATAGGAAAAAGAGGTATCTAGAATGGCATCAAAAAGAAGTGAGATTTGTAAAAAAAATGTTATTATTTTGCAACCACCCAATTTTTATGAGCCATGAAGTATAAAACCCATTTGGTGCAGTTTATCAAAACTTTCCCCAGAAAGGAAATAAAGAATCTGACAAATGTAAAAGAAGAGACTCTGTTGCATCACATTTATATACTGTAGTAGCGTGTTTAAGATGGAGAAGTTTTTCATCTGACACTGTTAGAGTTTATGAATAAAAGATTCAAAAGGTTCTCGAACAAGTAACTATAGTTGGTTCCATGTACATAATAACATACTAACAGGTTACAACCACCGCATCAGTATTAATAGATTCATTAGAAAACCCTGAAAGAATCATGTGTACATACAATGCAGATACAGATCCCATTGATTTCTTGCATGATCTGTATTATTATCAAAAAAAGAAAAGGTCCTTAAAACCCCCCTTGAGGTTTATAACAAATACTAAAACTACCCCTTCATTTTATCCTGATAAATATCATCTAAGGATTCTGCCATTAACCTTGACAGAATAGGGGAAATATCAAGAATGCCCTTATGGGATTTTGGATGTTCGAATAATACCAAAAATACCCCTGATCCCCTCTGTTCCAACTTTAATAAAGTAAGAAAAAGGTGAAGAAAATGATAGAAGAAAGAGAAGATAGGAAGAGAAAGGGAAGCGAAGGAGAAGAAAAGAGGGAAGACTAGAAAGGAGAAATCTGTTCACTTCTCCTTACTGTCGACCCAGGTTGTATGAACATTCTACCAAGGCAGAAATGACTACAATACCCTTAGGAAAATTACAGCAGATATAAGAGAGAAAGGATAACATGAAAAAGACAACACTGCCCTGTTAACTACTTCTAACAATTCTGACACCCTCAATACAAGGAAAGATCTAAACCGTAAAATCTATGCAACATAAATACACTTTGGTCAGCGAAGACAAGGAAATCAAGAATGGATCTGATTGGACCAGAATCCAGTCGAATGATGGCTCCAGTTGTAACTAAGTCGCCTGATTTTTTATGTGCCCAAATTAATGGCTTCATGGCAGATCAAAATTGAAGATTGTCTTCTAAATATGCCACCTGTAAAAGTTGATCCCAATCAGAGGTTGGCCTGTAATTCAAATTTTGGTTTCTACTTTTACAAATTTTCAATGGACAGAAATTATTAGGTGATATGTGGCTAGCAGGAGTGGTTTCAGGAGAGATATTTGGTGCCTGATTTTTCAGGCCAACAATTTTGATCAGCCACATGGTCAATCTGCCGGCCACATTGGACAACAGGTGATGCACCAATGCTCACATTTTTCATTGATTTGAGAAGGCAAATCCCTTAGTGAACATCAATCTGGTAAAACCTCATATATTAAAGGTGAAGCACAACGAGCATTTTGGTCTATTTAAGTTAAAGTCAAGTTAAATAGGGGTATTATTGGAGGTGAACATCTTTCTAGAAAAGTGAGGGGAGGTTTTGGTATTTGTTAGAAACCTTAAAGGAGGTTTAAGAATTTACCCTTATAAAAGTTATTTTTTTATCAGCAAAAACCATTTGTATTAATAGATTAAAAAAGGTGATTAATACAACATGATCATAGGAAAGTTATTCCTTATTTTTAAACCCACATTACAAAACAGCCCAGAACAACTACTGTCTTGTTACACCCTGTTTAGCCAGAGAGTCAGCAAACCCATTTGCACTCCTTCTGACTCACTTCCCTCATCACATGTCTCAAAGTCAAAGGGATATATCTATTGGTGTTTGCCCATGAAATGATTACTTTTGAATCCCCTTCTACCTCGATCAACCTGTAGCCAAGTTGTTTGGCTAATCTGAGGCCTTGCAAAAGAGCCATCAATTCAACCTTCAAAGAGTTTCCAAAACCAATTGGTCCTGAAAATAATACCAGAATCCTTCCCCCTGAATTTCTGATTACCCCTCCCATTCCTACTATTCCCGGATTTCCAATGGAGCTCCCATCAAAGTTCAACTTAAATTTGTTGCCTTCTAGAGGTTTCCAATCCAATCTTGCTCTATCTAATATCCTTGAAGAATGAGCCAATTCAGTCCAAGGTCTTAAGATGTCAGTAAAAGAAAAAGTTAGGAAGCAAGCCAAGGTTTTTACCCATATTATGCTATCTATCACTTCTCCAAAGTCCTGCTTTTTTCAGAGAAAATCATGTTATTTCTTTCATCCCAAACCACCCAACAGATAGTTGCTTTAGTGACTCTCTGGAGCACTTTCCCTTAGTCTTTGGTTGCCTTAAGAAGTTAGAATTGAAAATGCCCACCACATCTTGAGGGGGGACCCACCTGCAACCAAAGAGAGAATAGAAAAACATCCAGTTTCTTTGCATAATAGGGCAGGAGATTAACAAATGAGATAAGGTCTCACCATTGCCCCTGCATAAGAATCACATATGAAGAGGAAGACTTCCCAACAAAAAGCTTGAATATTAGGTGGGATCAATGTTTTAAAAGCGCAAGGTGCAAAAAAGGTGTGAGGCGAGGTGTGCACCTTTATGGAGCAAGGCAGAAAAATACAAAAAAAAAAGCTAAAAATGTCAGAAAATTCAAAAAAACGCCAAAAAATAAAAAAAAAAAAGCAAAAAGTAAAAAATATTAAACATAACATTAATAAGAAATATAGACTTAAATTTTAAAATTAATGGTTTAAAAAACCTATTATCTAAAATTAAAATACATAAACATAACATGTAAAGCATATTTAAAATAAAATCAAACATTTTCAAGCATATAAACATTTTCAAGCATGTAAAGCCCACAATCTCTTTTTGTCCTCAATCGCATTACTTCAAGTAGCTAATGTGATGTAAAACATATTACGTTCCTGATTCTACGAGTCACCTGTGTGCCACGACCCTCGAGGCAAGCCCAAACAAGTCCATGTTAGGGTCTTAAATTCTTAATTCTCACACAAAAAATAATGATTTTATAATTTTAATTGCCTTTTAAGAAGATATTTTATTAAGATGAATGAATGAACAACATTAGCAAATAGGGAGTTCTTGCCCCCGGCCCCGCCGCTAGGTTCAAAAAAAGAGAAAAAAGCGTACAATTTTCAAAAGGCGCACACTTGGGCCAAGGCGCAAGGCGCATCAAGCGCACGCCTAGGCGCATCAGGCGTGCGCCTTTTGAAAGTTTTGTGCGTAGGATTTGGGCGAGGCGCCTACCCTAAAATGTGCCTAGGCGCGCCTAAGGTGCACCTTTTAAATCACTAGGTGGGATAGGCTTACTCCAAATTTCTTTCACCGAGAAGTCCACCCCTTGAGGGCTAGGAGAGACAAAGAGTTTGAAAAACAAACAAGTGAATAAACCATCTAGAGAAGCCAACCAAATTCTAAAGTCCTCAAGGAAAGGGTCCAAGTGAGCTTTCCTTAGAATGTCTAGTAGGTGGATCAAGGAAGAGCATTCACTTTTCCCTAAGCCTCTTTTAAACCCTAGGTTCCAATTCATCCCAGTTGGAGGTGTTCCCGTTCTAGATACAATCTCCCCCTTTAGAAGAGAATGGGAGAAAAGCCTAGGAGATTGGTCATTAAGTGGAGTATCCCCTATGCATAAATCTTCTCAAAACTGTATTTTATCCCCCCCTTTCCACATCAAATCTGGTAAAGTTGAGGAAAATTGGGTAAACTTGATGAGTTTCTTTTCCAAGGAGAAGCCGAGGAAGAATGAGGGGTTAGTTTAGCATCCCAGCTACTTCCTTCCAGCCCATGAATGCTTGCAATTACCTTGTGCCAAAGCTTATCACTCTCAAAAGGAAATCTCCATAACCACTTACCTAGTAGAGAAGCATTTCTCAAGGCAATGTTCCCTATTCCTAGGCCCCCTTTTTCCTTAGGATTACTAACCAATTCCCGTTTGACTTGGTGATCCTTTTTGTCCTCTCCCAATTCCCAAAGGAAGTACCTCATGTATTTCTCTAATTGCTCTGCTATCCTTTCCAGGATTCAGAAGGTGGACAGGAAATATCTGGGGAGATTTACTAGTGTGGCTCTAATCAATGTAATTCTTCCTGCTAAAGAGATATAATTCCACTTCCAAAGGGCTAATTACCTATAAAAAATAGTATAATTAAGTAAACCCAACAAGTCCTTGAATCCTAATTTCTAAGGCTTGCCAAGTATGACACCTAAACCTTTGTTACATTTTAAAACTCATACCTGTACCTGTGTAACATAGCACTACAATAACAAAAAACCTCTTAATATATTCCTAAAAAGATATGATTTAAGACAAGGGCCAACCTGACCAAAAATCTAATGCCTTGGGAATAGAACTTTCAGAGCACCATTTCTGTGGAATATAGAGACAAGCTAATCTAAAGAAACCACAAATTACCAAAAATAGTAAATTGGGATTTTAATATAAACAGTGATTGTCAAAGTTGCTATAAATAATAAGTCTGAAGGGGGGGTTGCAAATGCCAAAACCTAAATAAACATAGCATACAAATCAAATATTCTAATTCACCTGGAGAATCATGTGTTTCAGAAACTGATATCACATCCGAGTTATTGAGACGATCAAAAACAAAGGGTGCTTTATCTGATAAATTCGAGTTCTGTGGCTTTTTCCTTTTTGAAGACAAGAGTGCATCAAGTTGGCATTGAATACTTTCATTTTTCTCCTAATTGATGAAAGGAATGAGCTTAGATTACATTTAGAGAAAAAGTTATCTTTAATGCAAGAGATGAGCAGATGTTGTAATAGAACCCAACTATTGGAATACATGGTTAACATTGTCCAATTAATAAGAACAGTTCATAACCAAAACACAAATATTTAGGATATGTTATAGTTATTACTCAACACTAGAATAGAAGAGGGTTGTTTGAAATAAGTTACTAGCTTTATAAGCAAAAACACCAATAATTGAAAGACTGATTTTGCATGATCATCCCCCATATAAAATTTATAAGCAAATTGATAATTTGTGCTCTAAAAAGGTAGTTATTTTTATGAGAGTTACATCATTCTCCATATATCTTAATATTTCTATTGCCTAATTAACTACTAGCTCTGCTGATAGTTCTTTTACATCTTCCCCTACCATGAACCCTGACTAATTCTCCTGCCTTAACCTTGGAGTCTGAAAGAACAAGTAACTTGGACCATGTTACAAATGATATTGGCCCCTTATTTCCCATCAGGGACTATAGGCATGAAATGCGCTGGCTTTGGAGAGGACCTAGGTCCTGGTCCAGATCCAAATGGAAAAGGCCCCTCATTGGACCATATCTAGACTTGTCAACTGGTCAGGTATGGACCATATCAGGGTAGACTTGGTCTTGAGTCTCTTGACCCAATAAATAGGCAGACGTCCCAATACAGAACCTAGGGATACTCGTAGGACAGGCCTGGGCCTATGTCTGAAATATAAACCCAGGCCCAGGCTGGGCATCTTGGCTTTCCAGGCCTAAAGATATATAACTCCAACCCTTCAGGCCAGGCCAAGCCCATTTTATATGCAGACCTGGTATAGGCATGGGCAGGCCCAAAGCTGATAGAAAACCTAGTCCCAGGCCCAGAAAATTGTGGGATGATGGGCTAGGCTAGGAAATATCACCCCAAGCAGACTCTAGGCACTATAAAAAGGCCAGAATTGACCCCATTATAAATCAGCTTATCAGGCCTGACCCAACAGAACCAATTATGCTAACATATCTAAAAGCTGGTGTTTTTTATAATAAACCAACATTAAACTTGATAGTTAGATTTGTAAGCCTAGTCATTTAGTAACAAACTTGGCAAATGACATATCTAGACAATATTGGACCCTTATCAGTTCAGGACGGGGTAGGCCTAGTCCCAACACCTAAACCAACTCATAGGAACAAGGGCCTGTCCAGATCCTGTATAACAGGGCCAGATTGGATTTATTGGGTCGGCCTGATCCATTAGTAGATCTATTGGGTCCAGGCCAGGTCTGGGTTAGATCTAATGGAGTGAATGCCTATCCAATCCCTTTATATAGTTTTTATCAGATCATGTGTCAGATTCTAAAGGGAAAGAGTATAGGGTGGACCCAAATCTATCCAAGTTTAAGAACAGTGGCCTTTTGTAATGATCCAACCCACTAAATACTGGTTTAGACTGGGCAGATTTTGGATCAGATCCGCATTATTACATGCTTTATTGCTTAACTCACTCTTCTTTTCTTACTCCATCTTCACATGCCTAACCAAGTTTTAATGGCCTCAAGGTCATGAAACTGCTTAAAATATTTAATCACAATATGATGCTTACCAAAGAAAAGGACCCCAAATTTCTTGTTGATTCCAATGGTGCTAATAATTTCCTCCATGATATATTGGTGAATAAGAATGACCTAATTACTCATTCTAATTTGTAAATCACCACTTCAATGATTAAATGAAGGCTAGAATACAGAAAACTACCCCATATTTAGGGGGTAGTGACACTTAGGTCCCCAAACTTTCATTTGCAACAGAGAGCTACCCTGTACTTTCAGATTCCAACACTCGGCTCCCACTGTAATCATTCCTTTAGCTTTGAACTTTTACGAGACATTTTGCCCTCTCCTTTATTGCATCTTCAAAACCTAAGTTTTGAACTTTTCCTATCTTCTTTCTTTTTTTTTCTTTTCATTTGTTTAAGAGAGAGACAAAGAAGAGTTGAAAGAGGTAGAGCATCCATCATTGTTGATTCTAACCAGCTCAGAGAACTCATAACACTACTCTACCTCATTTTTTTTATCAGCAAAAATTATTTAATTGAATTGATTATATGTGAAGTTAGTACAATTTGATGACAGGAATGTCATCCCCAAAAAACATAAACTAGATTACACAATACAATTGCTACCTTGCAGCCCATTGTTTAGCTAAGGACCACTTTACCTCTTTTGACTCTTGTCTATCTCTTAAACAATTGAAATGAAAAAAGAAAGAAGATAGGAAAAGTTCAAAAGTTGGGCTTTGGAGATGCAATGAAGGAAGGGAAAAATGATCTCATAAAAAGTTCAAAACAGACAGAATGCTAATGGTGAGAGTAGAGTGTTGGAATCTGAAAGTACAAGGTAGCTCTCTGTCATAAATGAAAATTTGGGGACCTAAGTGTCACTACCCCCAAGGTATAGGGTGTCCAAGACATTACTTGGGTTGTGTTGCTTGTTTTCTCGGCTGAGGTTGTTTCTTGTTTGATTTCTGGTTTGTTGCCGCTTATCTCAGGGCCCCTTCTATTCTTTCTTTTCTCCTTTTCTTTTTTTTAATATAGATTTTTCGTTAACAATAAAAAAACATCAAGTTGAATTGTAGTGAGCAAAATTTTTTCTTCCTGGATTAATGACATAATTAGAAAGAAATATTTAGGAATGGTGGAGCAGGTAGGAGAAACCAAATAGTTGGATAAATCTTATAGTTGATTTCAGAAAATAAACATCAATTGATCTGTATAAAAGACAAGATCACCTTATTTCCACGTGCCATTAATCTAGAGTAAAGAGTACAATTTTAATTGAGCATGTTGACACAATATAGATAAACCCAAGAGCACATATTCCACTAAAATAACCATACTACAGTGTTGAAAGAGTATGTGAAGTTCAATAACAATTCAAATTAAACAGTTCATCAGCATTTAAAGCAACAATATGAAAGCATGTTGTGTACCTCTTCAGCAGATAGAGTTTGTGACAACTGGTATGCATGTTCTTGTTCTGCTGACACAAACAACATAAGAAAAAAGCATCCTTAAACAATATAAATGGATTTGAACAATTCAGCCACCAACCAACATGCCATTCAGTCATTATTGAGTTCAAAATCTAGTTTATGATGTATTCACTAAGGCTATGTTTGGTTTGAAGGAAAAGGTAGGGAAACCTATACAAGGTTTGTAAAGGTTCCCCTACCTTTCCCTACTTTTTCCTTCAAACTAAACACAGTGTAAAAGACAAAGCAATAAGTCATCCAATTCAGTCACTTCAGCTGTTAGCAAACAGACCATAAGGCGCAAAAGAATGCAATAACATAACTTCTTTAAATCGTTTTTCAGTGTAAATTTGATCAGAAAGAAACCACAAATAATACTTAGATTCTTATATATGTAGCAAGGCAATAGATTGCAGTGCAGATCCCTTCTTTAAATCGTTCCGGGTGTTCCTGTTGGAGTTGACTCGTCACCAGTGCAGATCCCTACTGAACGACCACCAATTCGGCAAGTGTATACACGTCGAACGACACCGGCCCCTCCTCCAGCTTCTACCTTGTCCGCGGATCCTGTCGTTGCTCCTATTGCTGAACC